CTGCACCTTGGCCTGGCGCACGTCAGGTTTACGTGTTTCAGAGATTCAGGGAAGCAGTTTCTCTGCCATCACGAGCTAGCTCAGTTTGCAGACATGGTACCCTGTGTGGCCTTACTTTTCCCAGAAACAAATACCTTTACTTACTATTATTTGTTTATTCATTTATTTTTCTTTGTGGGGGTACACACCATCATTAACCATTGTTTCTATCCTGACCAGTCATAAATAACGTTACACAGTTGATCAATTCAAGTACATAATTAAGTATTAGTAATAGAACAACTAGAAGAACTGAATATATGGATGGTTTTCTTTTTAGATGATACATCAGCAGCCTAACCCAGGTATACACTATGAGTATATCATTCCAGGAGACAATGTCATTAGTCCTCAGTTGCTTGCTCACAGGAGGCCAGGTAAAATGCTGCTATTTCCTGTTATTGAATATATTTTGTTACCCAACAAGCTAATGGAGAAATTCATTCCATTAAATTAATTGTAAATGCTGCCAGTGATGTGGGAGAGGCCCAGAATTTTACCACTGAAAGAGAAGACTGCATAGATTTGGTAACATCAGTGAATTAATACTGGCAGGGATTATTCATACTGTAGCAGTGCATCTGGTCATGTATTTCTACTTTCAGTAACAATTCTCTTGTCAAAATGTTAACCATGGCTGAGCATGAGCTGGAGTGCGGTAACCATGTCTCAGAAATTAAATGGAACACGATTTTTCTCTTCAGAGTTTGAGATAATTTAAAACAACCCTTTGCAGTTTCTCTTTCCTCTCCCAACTGGAGAAAACCAAACACAAAACTGTTGCCTTCCCAAGCTAGAATCTGGGCAGCTTCTGCTCCTGACAGAGCTGTGGATACGTGCTGTGTGTACTGGTATAAAGTTCTGAAGGACAGTAGAAAATATGCAAGTGAGTTTGGTTCTACTTTTAATGTTCGTGACTTGCCTTGTTCCTAACGCAGAGCAGCTGTGCTGTGACATGGGGAGGCACAGAATAGAGAGCATGGGACCAAAAAAAAGGGCTTTGGGAAATTGCGACACTGGCTGCGTTAACTCTACAGTGTGTTCGGAGGTTCTTCAGTTCCTAATGTATTTGCTGGCTGAGACTTGGTTATCTCAGTTTAAAAGAACACAGTCTGCAGGACACTGCTAGGAGGTCTCTGCATAGCAGATCAGTGCTGCTTTCAAGTTTAATGATGCTTTGATTGTGATTATTAGTGAATGAAAATATAGACTGATATTTGCAAGTGAGGCTCATTATTTAATTTTTCTGTTACTGTCCATCATCAGGGGAGCCCTTGAATGGTCAGTTAGGAATGGCACAAAGCACAAATCATGAGGATGAGGATTTGCATAGGGAGACAGACACTCTCACTGGACAGCCAGCTGGAACTTTTCCAGTTATTCAGCCTGGAAGATTTCCCTCTCATCAGCCAGAAAACCAGGTGCCTGCTGTGCAACCACCAAGACAAAACCGAGAACACAACTGGAAACAGGTTGGAAAAACTGAGTGCACAACTACGTGTGGGAAAGGTAAGTGATTCATACACCGTGCACAGAAAATAGATGACACACGGGAGGGTTCCAGCGTGCGAGAGAGGCATGGGAGGAGCAGCGTGGCTATTCAACAGCTCTTGTATACCCAAAGCATTGCTGTATCTCATGTTTTCTGTTCTCTTCTAATCAAAAGACACATCAGTACTATTATGTGTGCTTATAGTTAAATCAGAGGAAACAACAAAATTAAATATCTGGGAAAGTATGGAAGTGAAAAGGGAATATATGGTATTTGCCTCTGAAAGGAAATATTACAGGATTTTATGGCAAGCTGCTCTCTCTCACACCCTTAATACACAGCTGCTTTCCTCAGCATTCTTTGGCATTCTTTACCCTTCCATTTGGCCTCTCCAGCTTTGTCTGATACAGCCTCAGTGCTTTTTGCTTTTTTGTCAAGTTTTCTGATCTTTATAGGAAGGTTTCACAGGGATTTCATCAGCCATATCTTTGCCTCATTTGATGTTGCTGGAACAGCAATAATACGACTTCAGAAAACTGAGTTTTCATGGGGTAGAAGTGGGAAGGAAGAGGGACAGGAAGGGACTGATAATTAGTGAGCTTTTGAGATGTGATGGATATGCTAGTTTGAGCTTGTCGGGTTAATCTTTGCAGTAAGACATTTGCGATGACCATGGATTCAGTATTGCATAGCACAAGCAGTTGTTTAGAAGAACAGGTTTTTGTGATAGTAAAAGTGAAATCTTTTGTACTATACATAGCCACCCATCACCATACCTACAAAATTGCAAACTTTGAAATAAAGACATACCAGTCTCTGGATTATCATATATGTGGTGAATTTTAGTATCCAACTCAGGTCATTTATGATGTAGTTGCAGGAACACATCAGGGTAAATGTATTCTTTCTTTACATCATAGAACCCTTGGTTGTATTTCATGCCAACTTGATGGACATTTGAACATAGTTGCCATTTTTTTCAGCTATTGGCAGTGATAGTAACAAAATCTGAGTCAAAATGACAATAGCAAAATTACAGGAGAACAGAATTCAAAGGATGTCTTTAAGCCTCCTATATAGCTTAAGTTTACTCTATAAAATTTAGCAAGAGAACTGTCAAAAATTAGTATCTGTCTTCCCATTACTTGGAGAATGTATGCATGATCCGATCAAGTTAAATTCAAAAGAAACTGAACCTTGAGAGCAGGATCCTGACACTGTTTGAGACTGTATGAACATTCCTTGTGATCTTGGTGTGAGAAGCCTGTATGAATGACTGATGCCCCTAATCTAAGGGGCAGGAAAAATCCAGGAAAAGTCTGCAGGAAGAAATGTAAACTTGTCTGGTTGTCTGGTTAAATAGTATTCCACTTGGGCTTATTTCATTCTGAGAAAGAAAGTCAAAAAACCTACAGTAGAGGTTTCCTGTGCCACCACTGTACCACACTGAAGAGCACAGGTTGCTGTCACTTTACATGGTATAAACATGGCAGAGACAGAATCAATAGTACTTTTGTACTACTGTCTAAAAGAACTAAAATGTTTTCGTAGTATTTCTTTTGCTGTTTGTGTACTATAGAGTTGCCTTTCACATCCCTTGCCTGATTCAGCTCCAGGTGGGCTTTGCTTTTCTTAACCAACCATCTCTGCACAGACAGCATCGCTGTACTCCTCTGGGATCACCTGCCTCTGCTTACATCTGTTGTATTTCCTTTGTATGTCTAAGTTCAGTTAGGAGCTTCTTGCTTATCCGTGCAGGCCTCCTGCCACCTTTGCTTGGTTTCCTAGTTGTTGAGATGGACCTTTCTTGACCTTTCTTGGTCTTTGTATATCAGCTGACTCTCCTGGACCTACCCTATGGCTTTATCCCACAGGATTCTTCCAAGCAGATTTCCGAGGAGGTTTTGGTCTGCTCTTCTGAAGTCCAGGGTTGTAGTCCTGCTTTTTGGCCTGTTCCTTCCTCTTAGAATCCTGAACCCTATGTACCATTTTATGGTCACTGTAGCCAAAGCTAGCCCCGGTTTTCACATCGCTGACTTCTTCTGCCCTGTTTTTATGTGTCAGGTCTAGCAAAGCACCTCGATCATCCGTGTCAGGAAACCTGTTAATGTACTCCAACTTTTCACTTTCTGAATACACGTAGGCATGTTAGCACCTTGCTCTTTGTCATCATTTTGCTAGTCAATTTGCAATATTAATAGAAGTAGAGGTCTGTCTTTTTGCTTTAGCATGAAAATTATTTAAAGACTGAACATTAAATATGGAGAATAGTGATTTTTTTTTTTAGTCTACAATAATGTTTATCCTATAAACTTTATCTTATGCACCTTTTAAAACACCAGGTAAAGTGGGTAATACCACGTAACTCTCAGTCTCTCCAGAAGCAGAGCAGAACAACTGCTCAGTTTTCTTCCTCTCAAGTCTGTGTTGTGGCTGCTTGGCTGCATTTTTTTTCCTGAATTGCCTAAATACTTAATGTTTGTACTCTCTGCAGTATAAAGATCTCATGCAAACAGGAGCATGTTTTCTCACCCTCTCCAACAATGCTATGCTGTACTTTCTATATACTAAAGGACTTCCCGTAATACTGCAATGTAAACAGTGTTCAGCTCTCACATTTGGAAATTTTGGATAAAATCTTAGGCTGTATTTCCTGTTCGATTGCGCTTTTCCTTTCTGCATCAGTGTTGGGTGCTACTGTTATGACTGCAGAGTCTTTTGCAATGCATCACTTAATTTTCTTCTTCATTTCAGGGTCACAGTACCCAGTTTTCCACTGCGTCAACAGAATCACTCACGAGGAGGTATCTGACAGTTACTGTGACAGCAGTACCAAACCCATTCCAGAAGAGGAAGCCTGCAACCTCTTCCCATGTCCAGCTTTGTAAGATACTACAGTTTACATCAAGTGAAATAAGACAATGTCTTTGAGGTTTTGCATGTAAAAGAGGCTATTCTGAGTAGAAAATTATTCTGAACTTTTAAGTACTATGCATTTGTGTCCTAAAGTGTAGTGGATATTTTTGGCTTAGTTGTTGGTAGCCTTCTTCCCCTTCACAGGGATCAATAGTGTTCAGCATACAAAAGGGAAGTTGGCAACAAGTGACTTCTGTCATTTCTTAAAACTGGTGTGATTGTTCAGGCATGCACAATATACAGGGTCTCTCCATGGGTACGTTTTTTTCCAGGTAGCAGGGGTCCTCGTATACCTGTCTAAAGAAGCAGCTCTGTAGGTTATAGCACTCCACATTGGATCAGTGTGCTGTAGTAAATATAGTATCATATTTAAAGATGAGTTGGGGCTGATGCTGCTCACAACGGCTCTCTCAGAAACATCAACTCTCTTTCCTGGAATTCAGTAGTCCTTCAGCTTGAAGACTGGCTCTGAAATGATCGTCCTTGTTTTGAGCACACTAATACAACCACCTCACGTGTGATTTCCTTCTGAAAAGACACTTGCCATCAGGAGACTGTGACTTAGAATTGGCTGGGCAACTTCTTTTAAACAGGAAAAAAAAAGGTCAATTTATCCAGGGGGTATACCAAGAAAAGAAAAGAGTTAAACCCAGTTGCCATTATAGCTGCTTTATTTCAGGTCAGCAGCTATATTTTCCATCTCTCTTGTGGTTACATTCTTCAGTTCTTTTCTGAGCAGCAAGTGGCCACTCCTTATCCCGTGGAAGTTTCTAATGGTGTTAAGTGCTGTTACAGTGTTAGAGGTGCCTGACAAGCAATTTCTGAGTGCGTATTAGATGCTCAGGAATTTCTGAAGCCGTTTACTTGGAGACATCTTCTCTCACCAACCGTTTTTCTCACCTTTTTCTTTCTAGTAACTCATATCAATTCAGCTTGATTTGTTTTCAGAGGATAATATCAAGAATATAATCAAAGATATGTAAATATGTATTTAAAAGAATACAGAGATTTTGCCTGCTCTCCAGAAGAGTTCTGAAATGTGTGAACAGTTCAGCTACTTTCCTTATTTGTGTATGTCCTCATGCTTGAAACGAAAAGTAAGAGGAGAAAATGACATGTTTATACAAAAGTGATTAAACAAATACAGTGAAAGCTTGGAACGAGAAGAATATATCTAAGGGATTCTTTTCATCTCTAAAATTAAATGTATTTATTCATTGCTTACCATTTGCTGTTTCAGTTTTACTGATGAATGAGTGCCTAGATAACAGTCTTTAAAAAAAGAAACAGCTATTAGTGGCTTAATTAATGTTTGTAGTATGTCTTGAAACCATGAATTGTGCAATCTGTATGCATGCTTATTATTACAGGTAGATTGGTTACAAGTGTGCAGCGTTGTCTTCAAAAAGGATGGTTGTTCATTCAGAGGCTTAAGTGTTCTTTTCTGAGATTCTATAACAGCATCAGAATCATGTCAGTTGAGTTCTGTTAAAATTAGTATTAGAGACATCTTTACTGAAAAAATATCCTCTCTATTTTTTTTCCCCTTTTGTGGTTTTTTTTTGTCTCTAGCTGGGATATAGGGGAGTGGTCTGAGTGCAGCAAAACATGTGGCCTTGGTATGCAGCATCGACAGATCTTATGCCGGCAAATGTATGCCAATCGTACCTTAACAGTTCAGCAGTACCGCTGTCATCACCTGGAGAAACCAGAGACAACCAGCACTTGCCAGCTGAAGATTTGCAGTGAATGGCAGATTAGGACAGAGTGGACTTCAGTAAGTATGACTGATAAATTTGTGGGGTGAAACCTCAGAACTTTTTCCAGGCATCACTAATCAAACATGAAATTTGTTTTGGTTTAAAACAGGGAAGTGGAATGTGAAAAGCCTTGGAAATAGGTGAATGTTAGTTCAAGAAAACCCTGCTAGATTTTGACCTGAAAAGTTCAGTTCATAACCAGAAAGAAGCGGAAAAAGGGTGATTGAATAGAACAAAACACATGGATGTGTGTGTACAGAAGTACACAATCCTTCTGAGCAATGTGGGGCTTTTTTGAATGCTATATGAAGTAGAGCTGGGAGAGTCCTGATGGGTTTGTCTGTGGTGACAGATTTACTACTCTTTGTCACAGCACGTAGAGTTTAGCCCCAGGAGTTATTTAACCTTACGTGTGTGCTAAAGATAGTGTCAGTAGCTGCTGTTACTGTAGTTGTTTTGAGGCTATGGCAAGGCTTTCAGATAAATGTGGACAGTACAGTTTTGAGCTTTTATTTTCCTGTGTTGCTCAGAAGAAGTTTAGCCAACCTGACAACCATCCTAGATACTTCCATGGCCATTGTGTGAAAGAGAAGATATCCTGGTGTGTTAGGTGTAGTGATAAACAAATCTCAGGTAGCCATGAAAAAATTTAGACCTGAATTGTCTGGGTGGATAGACCGTAAAAAATTCCAGCTTAAACCCTAAACCTAAACCTTCTTTTTCTATCCTACTGAAGTGCTTCCTTGCTCCTAATTCCCCCAGCCTTTGTGTTGTCCACTGGCAGTAGGAACACTGTTTTCCATCCACAGAGTCACAGTAGGCTAAAAAGCCATGCAGCAGACTTTATGTGGCTTTATAGTGGGTCCTCCCTTATAGTATGGTGGCATTGTTAACTTCCTAGTCATGAAGTGTCTTCGATACGTTGATATATTCCTGATAAAAAAAATAGAAATACATAGATAGATGAAGGTAAAGATATGTTGGTTGGTTAATTCATTGTTAATGATGAATTAAAATCCATCTGGAATTAAAGGACAGTAGAGTTTTGATCATGTGGATGATGAGAAAAGGGAGCTGGTTTTGTATGGTATTGCATTCTGAGAAGTATTTCAGTCTACAGAACCTTTAGAGGTTTATTGCATATGGTGAATCAAGCTGAACAAATGCTTTAGAAATTGAAGCTGGTTGAATGTAAGTGTAATTCCAATAAAATGATGTGATTAATTTCCTGCTGGTATTAAAATTAAAGTTCTTGGCATGAGGTTCCATCATAAAGATAGGAGCATCTGAGTTTGCAGACTGGTTTCAATAGAACATTGATTTGTGTTTGTGCTTACTGAAGTACAGTCAGGTTTTCACTTCAGAGACAGGTTTGTGATCTTCAAAGTAAGCCCATCTTAAGGTTTTAATGTGCTTACCATTTTTCTGACGTACAAATGTCAAAAACTTTGATCTAAATCTGATTAGAAAAAAAATGACATTGTGGTAATTTTCAACTTGGCAGACTAGACGTCAAGCGTAAGTCTGGACAAAGTGCTCCGTTTATGCCACGGAGTATTTGTTCTTATTAGTATTTTGCTATTTAATGACCTCACACATCTAGTCTGTATTTTGGCCAGTGTGCTGGAGTGAACAGTTGAGGAAATAACTGCAGTCTGAGGATGAAGTCTGTGAGGCATCTTGCTGTAGAGAATATATTTTGCGTGATAAAGAACTTCGACACATAAATATAGTAGATATGATTAAGCATTCAAAAGCAAGATAAAAGCAATGAGGCTGCCTTTGGTAGCTCTTTTAGGTACCTCTTTATGCAGGTACTGCAGTCGTTAATCTTTAAATTCCCTGTGATTTTCCTCTTTAATTCTAGAGTGTTTACAGGACTCAGCAAAACATTTCATGTGTACACAGCAGAAAATTACATTCCCATCTTGCTTCATGATCTGTTTGCTTCACATCATCAGGCAGAGATACCAATAGCTGTTAGCACTCTCTGAGGTTGAAGACAAGCGAGCAGGAGAAGAAAGCCTTTACTTGTAAGAGGGATTCAGAAGTTCTGTTTCTTTTAATTTCCCTTGCTTCATATCTGCTTTTATATTAAGATCAAAATTACGCAGAATATGTCAGCCAGTGATTCAAATACCAGCAGTTCATTTTGATAAGGTGCAGCATGGCCTGTTGAAGATAGGGTTTAATTTTATGTGTTCCAAATGTCTCTTCACAGTAATCCGTAGATTACTACAGACTGAAAATATGATTTAAAACTACTAATGTCTTTTTATTCCCTATTCCTAGCACTCTAGAATAGTTCTACAGTTTCTGTGGATGTGTCAGCA